GACTGCCCCCAACTCCCCTTCCGCCCCAAGCCTAACGGCTCCCCCAACTCCCTCTCTTCCCAGCCCCAGCAAGACCAACGGCTCCCAGCCCCCTCTGCTACTCCCCCCCCACCAGCCCTCCCCCCTCAACCCCCGGCGCTCTCGGGGCGGCCCCTACCTCTCAGCAGCGCTGCCCCCCCTGCCGGAGAAGCGGGTCCGGGGGCGGGGGGTGAAGCGGAGATCGGGGCGCGGGCGATTCCAGCCTCTTGTCACCGCAGAATCGCGCAGCGGCCCCGATCCCAGCCCCGCATCCAAGCGGCGCCGTCACCAGCGAGCGGCCCCGGCCCCCCCGCCCCGCACTCACTGCACGGGCAGCAACACCATCGCCGCCGCCTTCCCCGCGGGCGCCGAGCGAGGGGCAGCTGAGGCCACAGCAAAATGGAGGCGGCTGGGCTGGCTCGCTCTCCGTCCCCTCCGCTCAGCCCCGTCACGTGACCCGCCGCGCCCACACCCCCTTGTTTTTGTTTCTCCGGAGCCGCAGATGTTCCCGGGCGGAATGATCTCGGACAAGTCCGGCCGGTGAAATGTCAGGCAGGGGAGGGGGCGGTTAAAGAGTCCCCCGGGAGTCGCAGACAAAGAGGCCGAGAGGGCAATCACCGCGCTCAATTACGCCATCAGCTGTCCCTAGGCAGCGCCTGGGTGCACACCACTCGCTCCCTGGCAGCGAGCTTTCTCCGGGTGTTTACCAAAGTGGAGACGCGGAAGGAGACGGAAACTAGGTCAAATCACACTTTTAAAGGGACCCGAGATTTTTTCCATTTTGAAAAGTCCGCCCAAATCGTCCGGCGCGCTGATTGGTTCGTGAATCCTGCTCGCTGATTGGATAGAGTCGTCCCCCTCCATCCTTCTTGATGTTGTTGTTGTTCCGAGTCTGAGATTGGTCGGCGGTGACGACAGCTGCCTGCGATTGGCCAGCCGGGGACACACACGAACACACCTCCGGTTCCAGGCCTTAGCAACTGCTGCGCGCGGCCGCGAGGCGGGGGCGCGCTGCGGTGAGGGAGGGAATGATGCCCGCTGGCGTCGCCCCCTCCCCGCTGTCACTGCGGGGCCCGATCCTGCGTCCTACGAGGGCACTGGCTGTTGTGCCGTTGGCTTCCATGGGCCCGATCCTGCACGGGGCCCAGCTCCCACTGAACTGCTGCCGGGAGCCCCACTGGGTGACCCCAGCTCCCGCCTTTGCAGAATCAGGCCCCATTGGGCAGGTCCCTGCTGAGTCCTGGGCTGGTCCCTGGTGCAGCTGAGGGACAGGGAGCCCACAATGGCCATCAGGCAGCTCCAGCCTGGCACCACAGCCATGACCCAAACCACTGAGACCAGGCTACGCTACACGACACAGCCCTGCCGCGTCACACGTACACAGCCCGGGTGCAGCCACAGCCCTGCCGCCGCCATTGCCCCATGGCATAGACAGAGCTGTGCCGAGCACACCCCCAGTGTAGACAGAGCTGTGCCAGCAACATGCCCAGTGTAGAAGCAGCTATGCCAGCAACATCCCTAACGTAAGCACTGCCGTGCCAACAGGAGGGTGCCCCCATCGCAAAGCTAATCTTGTTCGGGGAGATGCTGTTACTCTACCAGCAGGAAAAACTCCGTATGTTAGCATAAGCTGTGTCTACACTAGGGGGGAATCTGCCCATATAGCTATACTGGTAGAGCATTTGTAGTGTAGACAAGGCCTGAGTGTCACAGGATTCACTGTCACCCATCCCTACATGCACACCTATCCGGGTAAAGTCAGAGACAGCACCCACATTTCCCCCCAAATAACACTGCAGGCCAGCACTATTAACCCACAATCCTTTGGGGAAACTTACCTCCTCCTCCCTCCAAAACATCTCTCCCCACAGGTGCTTGAACTAGGGGTGCTGCAGCACCCCCTGACTTGAAGTGGTTTCCACCATATATAGGGTTTACAGTTTGGATCAATGGTTCTCAGCACCCCCCCATACTAATTGTTCCAGCACCCCTGTCTCTCCCACAACACGGTTGCAGGACACTTATGACTTATCCACCCCTCCCCGCCCCCCTGTGTTGTTATTCTATGTCGTTCAGTAACACCAATGCCACATGTTCAAAAATCATGAGTCAGGCCCCAAAAATCATGAGTTTGGTTTAAAAATAACATTTTTGTTTGTCTTCCAGTGCTGGAGCCATTGGGGTTTGTGTTTTCAAGCTTTTCTGTGCCACCACAAGGGCTGGAAAAAAATTGTAAATGAAAGTTGAGATGTCCTGGTCACATGAATTCAGGAGCTGGGGCTTTAAGACAAACTTAATATCATGAACATTGGCATTACTGTACCTATACATCTTTCATAGCATGTTATTTACAGGCACTGCCAAACACCTCAGTGTACAGCTTTCATATATAACACTTTGGGGAGGAGGTGGTAGGGTGGAGACAAGATTAGCAAGCAGAAAGGAAATGGTTTTAACCAATAGCTAAAATTATGCTAGTGTTTATGAAGTTTGCCAGGTTCAGAAAACAAAGCCTTCTACTCCACAAGACAGTCAGCTGCACTGCAAACTTCCCCATATTGCTCTGCCAATATGTCTATCTAGATTAGGGTGACCAGATGTCCTGATTTTATAGGGACAGTCCTGATTTTGGGGTCTTTTTCTTATATAGGCTCCTATTACCCCCCACCTCCGTCCCGATTTTTCACATTTGCTGTCTGGTCACCCTAATCTAGATACTTATATAGTCCTTATCACTGTGGTATCTGAACATCTCCCAAGCATTATCCTCACAGCAGTCCTGCAAAGTGGGATATGTGGAATGACTACTGACTATATTATAACTAGGGCCGGTACTTTAAGGATTAAACCCAATTTCAGCCTCTAAAGTGATCTCACCTCTAATGATCAGCCTCTTCTAAGGGCAGTGCTTACTGTCAGCTACACTGACTTCAAATGGACTACTCACAGTACCAAACACTGCTTACACTAGTGAATTTTAGCAGAATAAGGCTCTTGACTCCAATTTCTATTCAAATTCTTAATGGCATCAATGCTCTTTACTTGGTGAAGTGCATCTTGCAATGTCAACATACAATACAGATGTAAACACTCTTTCAGGCCCTGAATGAAATAGCATAACAGGCCATGCATATCAGCTTCTTCCAGTAATAAATCTAAGTAATTGCAGTAATTCATTTTTTAAAAGAATGATTAAACACAAACATTTCATTTTTAAAAATATGGGTTTGACTTTCCACCCGAACATAGAAATTGCTTTTGTTTTGATTTAAACCTAATTAAAAACTCCAAAAATACCATTCATATATATGTAACTAACTAAATAATTTCAAGAAGAAAACCCGTTAAAAGAGCATGGACCACTTGTGTTTCTCCTATGCAACGTTGCATGAGAAGGGCTCCTTCTCATGAGTGGGGGAGAACTGTCTCATCTTTGCTCCTCCCTAATTGGCTGAGACCCTGCAAATGGTGGAGCAAGGTTGCAAGAGCAAGTGCTCCTCAGCAACATAAAGGACCCACTCGTCAACTTTGGAATTGTAATGAGGGAAAACTCAAAATCTTGGTTAGCCCCCCAGGCTGACAGGAGCTGTCAGTGCACTTATACAGTAACAAAGTTCAGTAACAACAGTTAGTTTTTTCAAAGAGCAACTGCTGCACTTTTACTCGGAGTGACTTATTTTAGATTAAAGGATGCAACAAAAAAAGAATGTAACATAGTAAAGATCCTGTAGGAAACCATAGTTTATCTCCTCTGTAACATGCTGCGCCTCACAGAACAGCAGCTGCTCCTGGAGATGGACATTCCTAGGAAATGTGAAGGCTCAGTACAGTGAAAACAAAGTTGTAACAGTTTCTTAGGGTACATCTACACTACAGGGGGGAGTCGATTTAAGATACGCAAATTCAGCTATGTGAATAGCGTAGCTGAATTCGACGTATCGCAGCCGACTTACCCCGCTGTGAGGACGGCGGCAAAATCGACTTCTGCGGCTTCCTGTCGACGGCGCTTACTCCCACCTCCGCTGGTGGAGTAAGAGCGTCGATTCAGGGATCGATTGTCGCGTCCCAACGGGACGCGATAAATCGATCCCCGAGAGGTCGATTTCTACCTGCCGATTCAGGCGGGTAGTGTAGACCTAGCCTTAGCTACATACACTAAGTGCAATGTGTGGGAGAAACAGACTGTGTCTTGGGCTTTCAAGGATTACTTGCACTATGTGGGATAACCAACCAACTCCAGGTTGAGGTAATTTTGGATGGAAGAGAACTTGTGGTGGAGTCTTTGAGGAGAAACGGAGACAATAAGTCTACCATCTGCAAGGGCACACTCAGGGGAATCATGATATGCCCTCATCCTGCCAGGAGGGTCCAGTTTGAGGAAGCGCTCTAGTATGTGCTTATCTTTAAGCTTGTGAGTAGGCTAGTCCCATATGTCAAAAAAGGATGGAGCTTCATTAGGCTTTATGAGCCTCAGTTTGTGCAGAAACTTTCAATGCTTGTTATCTTTCTTAAAAGACTAGAACGGTAGTAGACCTCCCTGAGTACTATGTCCTTGCCAAGCTTCAAACTCCAATTGCTTTTATTATTATAACCACTTTTGAAGTCTGGATATATTTTACCACTCTCCCATAACTTTTAAAAGATGGGAGATTCACTTTTGTGCAGAGACCAAGGATGGAAAATTTCAGTCTCAAAGATAAATGTGGAAAGTTATGAGGAAGACAGAAATGGCTTATCAGCATTAGCTTTAACAGGTTCTCCCAGGCTCCCTCGTGTTTTTGGTGTAAACAAACTGTGTTTGCACAAAGCAGTACAGTATTTATTTGGCATATTGTGATTATAAAGTATTCTCAACTTTATCCTATTACAGCAGCCACCAAGCACAGGTTCCATAATTCTATGCTTTGCCATATTTTATTGCTCCATGTTGTGTACTTTGAAAGGTGTTGGCTGAGCGCTACATCGCTGGTTACCAATTTAGCTACATCAGTGTTGCCCTTTGATCACCAAACAGGGTTCTTGCATAATAAGAGAAGTTGTCCAGTATGAAATCTTTATACATATGTAACTCTTATCCAAGGATCTCTAGACACTTTATGAACGTTAATTAACCCTTCACAAGGATAGTGGGAGGCTTTACTAAATGGTGGCTGTGACGAAGTGGGGGATTTTCTTGTTTTTTCCTTGTTTTTCCAATGGTTTGCATGCAGAGGGGGTGGGACTCAGTTTCCCTGGGTGTTACTGGTTTAATGGGGTGATGGGAGAGGGAGTTTGTTGCTACAGAGGACCAGCGAAGAAACTTGGGACCCCAGCCAATGGCCTGGAGAATGGATACCCTAGCGACTGGTGACTTGGTGACCTGGAGGCCCAGCTCAGGAGTTGCAACCGGTTCTGGCCAGTGGGAGGACAATGGGCTGCGAAGAGAGGACCCCAGTGATCTGATCAATCGGTTCCAGCCAGAGGGGGCCAGAGGA